TGTCCGAGAACCGGCGCCTGAACCAGAGTTCGAACCAGAACCAGAACTGCCACTGGAACTAGCGCCAGAACCAGTCTCGAAACCAGGCCTGGAACCTTCACCAGGCAGTACATGCGCTCACTGCCTGGCAGTGAGGGGAAGAGAGAGAGAGAGAGAGAGAGAGAGAGAGAGAGAGAGAGAGAGAGAGAGAGAGAGAGAGAGAGAGAGAGAGATGCCTAGAGTGTCAAACATCAAATGCCGATGTGCGCTTTCATATGTGTGTCTGTGTGTGCTCGTATGGGTTGTCATGTTCGCTACACGGAACTAACAAAAAAAGCACGATGGTGCCACCAGACTGTCGTCAGATTTTTATCAACTCGTCAGGAGGCTGAACCTCTGTGTGTGTGTGTGTATGAGTATTTGAGGCCATGCGTGTGTGTGGCTGGGTGTGGCATGCACAGATCCCACACGGGCCCCGCAGGGCCTGTTGGTAGGGTTAGAGGTCCTAGGGGTTAGTGGGTCAGTTTGGAGGCCAGGGCCCAGTGTCGTTCCGGCCCGTGCTTAGGGCCTGTAGGATTAGTAGGCCAGGTTAGGCCTGTTATGGTCCAGTCCAGGACTAGCCTTGTTACTAGGCCGAGTTAGGCCGTTGCAGGTCTGGCGCCAAGCCCATTTTGGTTTGGGCGCCAGATTCCTTTTGGGTGCCATGTTTAGGGGCCTGTCCGTTTTCGGAGACGGGCTCCGCTGAGGCTGGACCAGCACTATATATAGCCGGTCCGCCTCAGTTGTAGGTAGGTAGTTCTGAGGTAGCACTGTAGTCTTTAATAGTCGACGCGCTGGGCGCAGTAGTACTGTAGTCTTCAGTAGTCGACGAGCTGGATGCCCAAGGGAGTGTGAGGGTCTGCTGATCTGACGTTATGGGAAGCATGACCGTTTGTGTGTACCCAACCATGAAACCCTCCCCACCTACTTCTTGGATCTGGCTCATAGTCGGAGTGGACACTTCGGTTTTGAGAAAACGTATGGCAGTTTACTGCAACAGTTTGATTGGCCTGGTATGAAAGGGTCTGCATACAAGTTTGTGGCTGAGTGTGAAGTTTGTCAACGGATCAAGCCATCTAGGCAAAAGCCCTATGGACTACTTCACCCCCTACCTAGTCCTGATGGTCCCGGAGAGTCAGTTTCACTTCACTTCACGGATATGGGTAAGACAAGCAGGAATGGGTACTCACAAGTGATGGTGATCGTTGACCGATTTTCGAAATTCTTGAATCTGATTCCATTGCCACCTCATGCCCCAACTGGGCTTGTAATCGAAGAGTTTAATAAGCACTACATTCTGCAATATGGACCCCCAAAGACTCTTGTGAGTGATCGGGATACCTGGTTCATTAGCGCAGATTGGAAGGACTTTACCTCCCAGATCTACGATATGAAGCTCGAGATGACATCTGGCCGTCATCCGGAGGCCAATGGCCTGGCTGAAAAAATCAACCAGACCGTTACTCAACTTCTCCGTGCTCTTATCATTCCCGATCAAAACACGAGGGATGTAGAATTGCCCATTGTGAGGTGGTTGTACAACAACTCCATCCACTCTTCCACCGGCACGACACCAAACAGGTTACATTACGGGTGGAAGATATGCAATCCACTATCCTTCCTGTTTCCTGATCAGGCACCTGGTCCGACACCTGGCCAGCCTGGCTATAGTGCCATTTACGATCGCTTGCTCAAAACTGTTGTGGCAGTCATGAACAAGCACCGGGAGGCCATGATTAAACATGCTAATAAGAAGTGCCAGCATGCACCATTCGAAGTGGGTAGTTATGTCTGGGTCAAGATGTCTGAGTTTTCCGAAGAAGAGGGAGTGTCGCATAAACTCCTCCCTCTCTATTATGGCCCATGGCGGGCGTTGAAGGTAGTAGGAAATGATGGATTTGGCCCTTCCTACGTGGTTGACGTGCCACCTCATCTGTGCACGTATCCGGTCTTTCACGCATCCAAACTGTTTCCTTATCGTGCTTCTGGTTCCTTTCCTTATCGTGACCCTATGATCCCTCGTCCTATCGATGGCGGTCATGATATTGACAGGATTGTGAGTCATACCGTTAAGGGGCGTACCAGACAGTATCAAGTCCACTTTCTATATCACCCACTAGATGATTTGTACTGGATTTCCGAGAAGGAATTGCTGCAAAGCACACCCCGAGTCGTCAAGGCCTATGAACGACAGATTGATACACAGCCAAAGATCACGGCAGCTCTCACACCTACAGCGTACTCCCAATCCCTATTTGCCATATTCGCCTATGATGCGTTTTGCATGGACTCTGAGTGAGTTACTCGCTCGAATGGACCTCGCTCTTAAGGGGGGGGTAGTGTAATGACCCGTCAAAACACAGACTGAGAACACTGCTTATTTCTGAGTTCTGCCGCTGGAACGGATGCCTTGCTGAGATTCGCGCATTCTGCTGAGTTTCCGAAGTCTGTGTGTGTGTGTGTGCTTGATGGTCTGCGTACCTGTCTGAGTGCTGGGCGGCCTGAGTGTGTGTGTGACCCGCAGGGGTACTTGCTTGCTTGAGGGCCCGTAGGGCCAGTACTTACCTGTGTCCATGACATTGAGGGTTGCCGCGGGGAAAACACTCAAGTGGCAGAGCGGGAGGCCCGCGACACTTAAGGCAGTGGGAAAAACACTCGAGTAGCAGGTAGGCCAGTACCGCACCAAGTAGAGGCAGATGTGCCGGGTACTTGAGGCCCGAGCAGAAGAAGACAAAGTTGGCATTTTTAGAGGCCCAGTTGCTGTAGGCTAGGTCTAGGGCCTGTACAGGCAATATCAGAGTCTGCAATGATGTTTCCCTCCGGACGGGAGGAGGTACCGATTGCTTGAGAGGCCGAGCGGCCTGGAAGTCACCTCCCAAGAGGCAAGTAGCCGCTATATCTTTGGGCTGAGCCAAGAGCTCAGCCTCATTCTTCGGTGTGCAAGTTTGGCGACACACTGCTTGGAGCGCTGGGCACCACAGCGATGCTGGGAGAAAGGAGACCGGGAGCTCCCACCTCAGCTATGGTGGAGCTCTACCGGTGTGAGAAGGATGGAGAAGAGGACTGAGGGAGGAGAGTGGCGAGGTACATACCTGGCTATGGCGGACACCATCTTCATCACCTTGATCGGCGCTGCATTAGGAAGGCCCCAGTTGGGGCAGTGCTGCACCAAGAAAGCTCGAGGCAGAGTCAGGCATGGCGGCTTGATGAGCAGCGACATATCTGCTTTGGGTTGTCCTTTGGACAGGAGGGCAGCGGCATAGCTGCTTTGTGATGCCCTTTGGACAGGAGGGCAGAACCCTTAGTAGTCCGCCATAGCCCTGCCCTACATGAAGAGGAAGAGGAAGGACAGCGATGGCTATGGTGGACCTCATGTTGAGCCTGCAGCAGAAGAGGGATTCGGGCATTGATTCTGGTTCAGCCATTCATTACAATTGTTATTTCTTGATTGAATAAGAGGGGAGGAGATAAGGAGAAGGAGAGTTATTGGTGAAGGAGAAGCACATTATCATTGGTCTATGCTGGTGTACGTCATCTTCTTCTTCTTTCGTTCTTCTTCTTCTTCTTTTTCCTTCTCTCTCTCTCTCCTCTTAAGTTCATTCATTTCTATTTGCAATTGGATGGCATTGTGCTTTGTGATGAATGTGTACTTTGGCCAGGATCTTCACATCTCTCTCTCTCTCTCTCTCTCTCTCTCTCTCTCTCTCTCTCTCTCTCTCTCTCTCTCTCTCTCTCTC